GGTTTCGGGTTCGGTTACCGTACGTCGTACGTACGAACGTAAACGTACGTAGTAGTCGACTACGTACGACCGACTAGTAGTAGTAGTATGTGTGCGTCCTCTCTCTCTCTCTCTCTCTCTCTCTCTCTCTCTCTCTCCATCTGGGCTGTTTTTGTGAAATACTTCTGCTTCTAGCCTTCATGTCATCTTGTTGTCGTTGTTGGGAGCCCCTTCGGTGCGATAGGGAGTGGCGTCGGGACACTGTGGTTCTGAATCGCTCTTAGCTCAACAGTCGTGAGTCCTGATCTAACTTGAGCGGCTAAGGGGATTGTGGGGCTTTTTAATCTGACTGCCAAAATAAAACTAGGTTAATCCCATATGAATACACATCAAGAGTATTTAAATTATCATTTTAACGTTCAGTTGTATCATTTATATCATTTTACTAATCAATACTTTCTATTTTATAACAAAAATGCCTTCATGAATTTTAGATGCGGAAATGGTAGATCTCTGTTTTAGTTGCAATGAGGCATGGACTAGTGAGCTTGTTGTTCAATTTTCTATGATATTTTTGTGATTTTTATGACACCATATTTGGGTAATTTTGGACTTGATTTTATTGAAAATCTATCGAAATTTGAAGTTTGAAACTGTGTATCAATTTTTGCATTAATTAAGCACATTTAAGCTATAAAGACTCTGATTTTTTTTAATTCAAATAAGCAATATATTACCGTTGTTTGAATCTAATATGATCATGGACTTTTATGGTCATATTTGTTTCGATTTCAAAGCTTTTTCCTTCAAATATTTGAATCTTACACCAACCCCTTCCCCCGCCCCCCCCAAAAAAAAAAAACTTTTTTTAAGCTTAAGTAGTTTGAATATTATAATGTCTATTTTCACACTGGAATAATATTTTCATCATTTTGATTAAGCTTGAGTTGATTTTGGAGCTTACTGCTCTAAAAATTAAGGATCTAAACTTTGTCTCGCATTTTGGTTGTGTTGAAGGAATTTTATGTGAAAATGGCTTTAAAATAATTGCAAAATGATTTTGATCGATTCATTTCTTTGTCAACTCTAAGCTTAGTTAAGAACTTTTTCTTTCTATTTTGTAAGCTGAAGTCATTCATGTGTTGTGCATGACCTGCAGTTAGTTATCAACAAGATAATCTTGGATAGAATAAAATTGAACAAGGCTTCCAAGGGACAATGTTTGTTGTAAACTACCGGCATTTCGGAAGTATTACATAAACATCTTCAAGTATAAGCCAAGATGACCCATGAGGAGCAGGTGAATTAATTGTTGAGAATAGAGTTTATAATATAATATAAAGAATATGAAGGATTAACCAAGTATCAAGATTGGCGAGAAGAAATTATAGAACAAGATTTGAGAAAAACGGCAAAGGAATTAAAAACAGGCAAAAACCAAGTTATTTATTATAGTTGTTGCAGACCCAGTCAAATTCAAAAGTTCTACAAGACAAGTTGATTGAAGAAATTATGTGCCCATTGTCCTAAAGATAAACTTTTTAAAGGTATGTGACCATTGTCTCTGAGATAAACTTATTAGGGGCACGAGCGATTAGTGGTTAGACTCTATATTTGTCAACCATGTCAAATGATAGAAGCATGTTTAAAACTTACAAAATGGTGTAATGGGCATGTGCTCTACATAGGCAACTCCTCCTCACATCAAATTAGTTAGTAAAAGGATGAATGGAGTGAAGTTTATGTCTAAGAAGATCCTTACCCTTCTAGACATATGTTACTCCCAATAATCTAAAAGAACTTGATATGACTTTACCTTTCAAATAAGCTTATTTAAGCTTGTTATCGGGTATGCTAAATTATTTTATCGAATAATAGAGTATTCGTCGATAGGGAATATGTCGGTGATTGCATGTTTGAACAAAATCTCATAAATGAAATGGACATATCATCTTCTTCTTACCTAATTGACTATTTCAATTTATGAAATGGTAGATTAGACTATGTAAATTTTCATACGAAATGAGTAGCCTAGACTTAATTCCTAAGTTTTAGATCATCAAGAATGCCCTCTGTGGTGTGTATGTATGTGAATATGATCCAAGATCACAAGAAGTAGAAATAAATTATACGTTATTGGAATTAATTTATAATGATGTTGGTGAATTTATAGATGTACAAAATTATCGTGGTAAGTAATACTTGCACATGTTTTACTTAATAAGAAACAAAGATAAAATATTTGAAAAATTTTGAAAAATGGAAGGATTACAAAATGAAGTTGAAAATAGTTGAATTTGAAAATCAAAATTTGTAAAAGTGAGAAAGTTGGTGGATATTGTTCTTCTCTTCCACTAGCTTTTGTGAATTTGATGGAATCATTTACCAAGTGACTATGCCATGCACACCATGACAAAAAGGTTTAGTCAAAAGGGAAAATCACTCACTTAAAGAGATGACTCATGGTATTCTCATCAGTTCCAATATCCCCACGAATTTGTGGATGGAGGCCATAACATCTGCACATAACATTTTAATTAGAGTTCAAGTTTCTAAGTCAAATATTATACATATGAGCTTTAAAAATACAGGAAATCCTACATGGGATTCCTCATTGTTTTGGGGTTGTCTTTGTTATGTGATGATTTTAAGATATCTAAAGTGGGATTTAAGACGACACTACGGGTTTTTGTCGGATATTCTAAGTACGTCCAAGCCTATGGATTAATAGATCTAGACTTAAATGTGATTTGGAGATGCAGAATTTTTAGAAATTATTTTCATTCAGGGGCCTGATAAAAAATATGGAAATAAATGTGTATAACATAAGCATGATGAAAAATATATTCTTGAAGATCTAAACCTAGCCGAGGTAAGAGAGTCAAGAAACATACTAACTTTGGGCCTAGATGTAGAAACCTCTTTTGAGATTAGCTTAATTTTTGCAGGGATAGCCTAGTGAATCATGGGACACAATAGACCGTAATTCGCACTTGAACCATAGTCCAACCATAAAATATTTCTTAAATATTCCGAATATCCTACTTTAGGCTAAGAGTTATCCAAATTTGGCAAGTTTTACATGTCAAAAGGAAGAAGATATTTGAAATGGTGGAGAGCCATACATTGACTGACATAAAATCTCATGAAATGTATGGAGAAATTTATGCGAAATCTGATCTGAGAGGATTTTGCGTCACAGACAGGCTTTAGTGGCACTACCAACGCCATTGATGGCAAATAGCCCAGCAATACAAAGTGTACAGTCTAGATTGAATCGCACTACTGGTAATGCGACTTAAGGCATTTTTAGGTCATTTTTTACTTCCTCAATGACATTTTTTTGAATTTTGAAGCATCACCTCAAGGATATTTTTCCTCACAAGCTTAGAGCCATAGACAAAAACCTTAATCTAAATATAGGACACTAAACCATGTTCCTACAACTTTAAGTCATTTCAGTCATGAAACATTGGATAAACATTCAAGAAAGTCTTAATGCATTGCCTAAGAGTATAGGATCTTAACACTCTTTCACATAACCCAAATCCAAGAGTGTGTTTGATAAGTGGGAATTTCTGGAAGTGGGAGTTGAACGTTCCACTTGCATGTTTGATATTACATTGCGGAAGCTGCAAAGTGGAAGGGCGGCCTTCCTCTAAGTATTTTTTTAGCATCAAAATGGGTCTATTTTTGGAAGACCTCCCTTCATAAAAAATGAAGGAAGGGTTGTCTTCCATATTTTGTGGTAGACTCCCTTCCACTAAAAAAAACTCCACATATCACATGCGGCCCTAAGGGGCCGTTTGGATGCCTAAAATATATTGTCAGTCAAATATATTACGGGCATAATACATTACTGTGTAATACATTACCTGTAAATAGATTGTCACTGTTTGGGTAGTATTTAGATGTAACTTAGGAAATACCTTGCTACTGTTTGGTTATGTCTTGAAGAAATATGAGAAATGCATTACCATCCAAATATGAAAAATATGGCTATGTTTGGCTAACATGATTAGACTTTGGTTTCAACATGATAAGCCATTAGAATAATATGATTGGAATAACATGATTTTATTATGATAAACTTTTTTTTTATTTACTTTTTATAGAAGTCTTTCAAATGTCTATCTATATATAATTTCAAATGAGCAATAAATTTATTATACCAAAATCAAAATCTTTATGATACAACTTAAAAAATGGGAAGAAGTTTGATTAGTAAACTAGAAGGTTTGGTAATTGCAGTAGAAAATTTTGAAGCATTGGAGGAGACTAAAGAAGTATCTTATTTCAATTGAGCTTTTACTAATCTCTTATGAAGATTATGTTGTGTGAAATTTTTTATTATGATGTGTTGTGTAATTTCTCATCGATTATCAATTATTATTTTTATTATTTTTGTTTTTATACTGGAGCTGATGGCCGGCTACAACCAAATTGGGGACAAAGGTATGTAGAAATTTTTTTATTAAGATTGCAATAGAAAATTGTCCATTCTACCACTATTCAAATCAATTTAGATTTTCCCCTACTTTCACCTCCCAATTAAAAAAAATTGTTTTTATATGAGAGTGAGATGAGGGCTACAACCCAAATTGGGTACAGAGGGATGTAGAAATTTTTTATTATGATTGCAATAGAAAATTGTCTTCACATTTGTTCAAATCAATTTAGATAAATTGTCCTCACACTTGTTTTTTAAACAAGGAAGAGAGACACGCGAAAGATTTTCAAAGATTACTTGTCAAATAGATGTTTTTTAAGTAGAGGATAGGGAAGAGAGACACACGCGAAAGATTTTCAAATATTACTTATCAAATAGAAGAGAGACACGAGAAAGATTTTAAAATATTACTTGCCAACTAGATTTTTCACCGCTAGCGCGTTATGGATTTCATGATAGATTACATGTCCGCGTTATGGATTCATGATAGATTACATGTCTGCGTTATGGATTTCACGATAGATTACATGTCAACCTCGTAATAGCCGCGTTATGGATTTCATGATAGATTACATATCCGCGTTATGGATTCATGATAGATTACATGTCCGCATTATGGATTTCACGATAGATTACATGTCAATCTCATAATAGCCGCATTAGTAAATGTCATATTTTCTATTGTCAAGTAATATATTTCCATGTATCCAAATGCCCCTAAATGTTTCTATTGTCAAGTAATAGATTTCCTAAAGGTTCTTTTGACGGATTTCGCCCCTTCTTTTGACAGATTTAGTTCAAAAAAGAGAACATACAAAAGCTATCTGATTCAGGCTCTACTACTGGGTTCCAGACCTACAGGCTGGGCTTCTAGTAATAAATCATCTTTTCTTTGATCCTACATTTTTATTATTCTATTTGTCATTTATTTTCTTATTCCTTTGTTCTATATCATTACTTTTGGTTTTGGTGGGAGACCAGCTAGCACGACCAAAGATTTGCATAAGGTTGATGTCTATTTGAGATTGATTCAAGGTTTTAATTCGACGGACCTTGTTTGCAATCCAAATCAAGGTGACGTCTATATAGCTTCACACCGAAACCCTTTCTATAAATCTTGAAACCTTATTTAGGATATGTTTGACAAGCGCATAATATTCAGATATTCCAATATATTGCAAGATTTAGATATTCTTTAACAAAATATAGTTAAAGCCACGTTTGATAGAGCCTAACAGAATCGCATGAGATTTGAATTTTACCCCAAATATCACAATAATATATAAGTCAAATATATGAAAATGGGGCACTGCCTTTATTCAAATTTAAATAAATTAAATAACCAGATTATGTTTTGTCAAACAGAGCACTAAAGAATTCCAAAGATCTTGGCCTAAAACTAGAACTCCTCTCCCCGGCTTCGCAAATTACACATGGTAGAGAGAGAGGAGAGAGAGATTGAAGAAAAATAATGGGGACAGAGGGTGAGTCTGATTCAAAGGTTTCGCAAATTGCACATGGTAGAGAGAAGAGAGAGAGATTGAAGAAAAATAATGGGAGAGAGGGTGGGGGTGGGTCTGATTCGAAATGGTCCCGTATCGTAAATATATAACCGGTTGAAACTTAAAAAAAACGAAGTGAAAGATTCGAGTGATGCAATACCTTTGATGTGGAATATACTAATGGGACTGAGTTTTAGGAAGGTCTAATATTTAGAATATGAAATAAACCGAGAGATGGGGTTGTTCAATATTTTTAATATGTCCTTAAATAAAATGAATTTAAAAAAAAAAAAATGTCCACCAGTCCGATGTTGAAAATTTTAAGACTGACGGGTCAAAACTGGAAGAAGAAAAAAGGCACGCTGAGGTGTGCACCTCAACCTAACATTTGGGAAAATATGGAGCATACTGTAATAATGAGCTCCAAAACTGGTCCATATGTAATTTTCCCTTTGTTTTCCTAGAAAGTGCTTTTCCAAGTTGATTGGAAAGTTTGTTTACCATATGAATTAGTATAGCGCTTTTCACCTAAATAAATGGGGTGGGGCGCCACTTTCTCATACCTTAATAATAAAAGCTAGGAAAAGCTTAGAAAGCACTTTCTCAATTATACATCCTATAAACTCTATACTCGGAGTCTTGCATGACAAAGAAAAAAAGGAAAAGCAAACAAAAGAAAATCAATGTGCGATGATGATTACCCCCACAGATAACCAAAACTGACGGTTCAGATGCATCCGGTGAATCCATGCGTCTAAATCCAACGGCTGAAGACTCACGTAGGGCGGAGCACCACCTGGCCTCCTCCATCCGCATCGAAACTCGTAAACGAAATCACACATAGGGCAAAAACCAGCATCACAATCGCCAGAAACCCCATGCTAACCAGCCACCTCCCATCTCCACCAAAATCAGCGGCGCCGCCAACTCCTCCACTAAAATTAGCGGCTCCCCCAATTCCACCACCGCTTCTCCTCTCTAATGGTGAGGCGCAGCTCATTTCTCCGCTATTTCTTATCTCATTTTCAATCAATCCACCATTTTTATGGTCACTGCAACTCTGTTTTGTGGCTAATCCACTGCTTTTACCGCTGCCGCTACTCTCGATGGAAGTGGCTCCACCATTTTCCCTGTTATTTCCGCTATCAAAAGAGATCCTTTTAATACCTTTTCTCCTTTCAATGGAAAAGTTGCCCTCCATAGCAGGCTCGCTTCCATGGATTACAGAGGAGCAAACAATGCATAAATCGTCCATCTTTCTGGCAAAATCTCCAATCTCTTCCCTTTCTTTCGCAATGGTGAACGTCTCATCCCTTATATCGGCAAGTTTTCCGACCAAAATACAGTCTTGATCCAATTTTCTGGGAAGATCACTCACCAAGCAGTTCTCGTCCCCTTTTCTGGCAAAGCCGTAGGTCTCATCTCTTTCTCCGGCGACGCTGTCGAGTAGGTGGAGGAGACGGCGGCCCTTGAACTTGCCGGAAACCACCGCCTCTCTCCTCTCTCTGATGATTTCCTCCACCGCGATGTCGTTTGTTCTCACATGCCAAACCTCCTCCTCTTTTTCCTCTCCATTTTCTCTCACCTCCCAATCCTCCCCGTCATCCTCTTCGTCGTTATCGTTCTCTTCGTCCCTCCAAGTTTCTCTCTCCTCCTCTTTGCCCCAAGTTCCTCTCTCATCGATGTTTTCATTGTTGTGGTGTTTCTGCGAGGAAGGGAGGAGGAACGAAGACGGACAGCGGTGGTGGCGGCGATGGCGAGATTGGTGATTGGACCAGTCTTTGAAGAGGGAATTGTATTTGTGCTCCAAATCTTTGGTGCTGTTGCTATGCGTGTGTGATGCCATTTCTGAGAGCGACTTCTTGCCCATGTCGATCATCTGGTGGGAGACGAAAACGAAGACGAAAACATGTTGCTCAGCCAATGGGGCCGTATAGCTACAGAGAGAGCCAAGAGCGGGGGCGTATGGGTACAGAGAGAGAGAGAGAGAAGGCGTGGAATGTGGGCTAATGGGAGGGAAAGTTTGAAGTTGAAGTGGGGTGGTGTTTGTTGCATAACTGCATGCACCACGTCACGTTTATATTATTGTTGTTGAGAGGGAGATTCTTATGGGATTGTTTGTTTCTTAGAGCTCTTTCTTATTATTTACACCCCTTTTTTTTCACAAGGCTAATTAATATTACGGAAATTGTTTCGTGCAAAACATCATGGATCCAAGTAGGTGTTTCATCTAAAAATAATAGAAACTAACGTTGCAAATGTTTTTTTATTAGAATTATTATTTTTATTTTTAAAAATTTATTTATTTATTTATTTATATTCGTGATCTTCATGATAAAGATTATATGTCCTTAAAAATTGAGTCTTATATTCCATCTCATAAATAGATGCATGATCTCCATGTTAGAGATTACATGTCCTTAAAATTTGAGTCGTAAAATCCATCTCATAAATAGATTTATTAAGAGGCTTGTATTTCTACATATACGGCTTGCCCTGCATAGAAACCGGGTCCTTCCAATAAAACCCCTTTCTTGGTCAAGAAACGGGGTCCTCCTAATAAAACCCCTTTCTTGGTCAAGTCATCAGCAATAGAATTAGCCTTTTCATGTACATGATTGTGCCTAAATTACGAGATAAAGTCCCTTTCTTGGGCAAGTCATCAGCAACAGAATTAGCCCTTTTATATACATGATTGTTCTAAACTATAAGACACACTCTACACGAACCTCTAAAAATAATGTCTTGAGATTGATTAAACTATGAAAATAATGTCTTGAGATTGACTAAAGGATATGGATAAATATAAGCATTTAGGAACTCAAAAGTGTTTTTTTTTTCAAAAAAAAAGAAGAGAAGAAGAAGTCATTAGGCATTTTAAAATGAGTCTTAATATTTTAGATCTAAAAATCCCATATTAAGCCTAAACTAGATCTCAAAAATTTCAAACTAAAACAATCCCTCACTTTTTGTCCAAGGGAGCAAGTGCACAGTCTGATATAGTGTTTTGGAAAACGGATAAATGGGGTCGATCATCCCAGATGAGAAAAACAAAAACAAAAACAAAAACAAAAAATAATATATACAATGAAACCATTTATGTTTGGCATAGGGAGGTCACAATTAATCTTGAACATTGGATTTGAAATTGGGTGGCTACATTTATTCCATCGACTAAGCTCAATATTCTAAATATTTGAACTTTGTGATACACCCATTGCAAATTTGACATCGGATGGTTATAAATAATTGTAACCTTATATCAAAGGCAAATGATCTCCTAATATGTACATTTTCTATTGCTTATGTCAAAGAGTATAATTGGTTAGATGCTCCCGTTGTGCAGATGTCCCCAATTTGACCCTCAAGATTTCCTTATTTTTTACATGGTTGAGTCTAACGTTAAAGAAAAAAAATGAAGGTATTGTAAAAAGGAAACAACACACAGAGAAGCACACTATACATGTTCTACCTTGTATGCTCCTTAGCAGAAAGATATATTTGTTTTCTGTTTTTTAGTATTTCAGGCTTTCAGCTATAGGAATCGAACCAGTAGTTCTGCAATCCTCAACAGCTATTAACCAAACCCAAGCCCAAGCCCGAATTTCTCCTCTATCATCTCTATTCTCCCTCGCATGCCTTTTATCTCTCTCACACATATTTAAAGAAACTAATTTTGACTTGTATAACAAATGATGTTTATCATTTAAATACAAAAAAAAAAAATGTTTTAGTAGGTTCTTTACAAACAAGAAACCAAGGGTAAATGCTGAAGAGATCAAGATGTAACCCGTTCACCATTCGACTTCTGTTTAATACACTACGGATTACATGTAATTTCCTGAAACCAGCTTTTGAAA